GGCCGGATCTGCGGGCACCCGGGAGGCCCCCGGAGGGCCCGGGAAGCCAGGCTGCTGCGGGGCATTGATGAACAAGGTGACCGGAGGCTGGGGCTCGAAAGGGATAGGCCGCCTCGACCGGCTGTCATGGCGATACCGGGCTCCCTGCTTAGGTGGGGGTTGCGGAGGAGCGGCCTGCTCCCTTGCCGCCGTAGTTACGCACGCGGTGCTTTGTCGGAACGGCTCCGGGGAGTCCGGACCGAGAAGTGTTGCCTTGACGGTGCGCTTTGTGTGCAGCCAGATATCGGCTAGAGAAGGGAGGGCTTTGCTTTTTCCTTCCAGAAACGTGACAAAAGGCGTCGAGCCGAGATTGGGCTTGAGGCTATTCCATCTCTGTGCACGTTCAGGAAGTAATGGAGGTTTTCCTTTAAAGGTTATCATCCTCCTGTTTTCCTTTAACCATAGGGGAAACCTCAGGAATGTGTCAGTATCCTTTAAATTCTGAAAAGTGCCCAGTCCTTCTGTGCTCAGTGTAGTGTCTAACATTCAACCTGGCAAACAGGCAAGTTTATTCTGTTGTGGTTGGTCTATGCCGTGCCTGAGTCCTGGGTTGACTGGGTGGCTTTGGGATGAAAGGTCCCTGGGAAGTAGGATTCTCCACATTATACACCAGGGAAAGGCCCTTCTGGATACTTTCAGATTCCTTAAGTATAAATAGATAGGTTGAGAAATGAATACTGAGAAGCCCTGTACAATGAAATGCTTTAAGTTTGGCTATTTGTCTTGTGTAGTTCTATTCGTTAGCAGGGTGTTTTGTGTTGCGTGTTGTTGTTGTTGTTTTTTAACCAGCAAGAATTCAAATGATTTCTAAGATCAGTTACAACAGATGAAAACTGTTTAGAGATCATTCTGTGACAGAAGACATCAGAGCAGTAGTAGGTATTACTCTGATTTTTACTCATTTCCAAACCTTTCCCTCAGAGGTCCTTGCCCCTGTTCCTGTATTTTGTTGTTCACCTCGATGCCTTGTTCTTGTTTTCCTTTTAAATGGAGAATGTTCCTGTCCTTAGCAGTTGTGTTCCGTTTGTCGAACACAGTTTGGGCATCGCATCGACACCTGTTGAGGAATCTGATTATCTTTCTTGCTTCATCGCAAGTACACATTATTTCCCAGCTTATAATGGTTGTAGGGACCAGATTCTCTCCGTGTATTTTTTAGTGTGTCTGTCTTCTGGGTTGCTTTTTTAGAGTCGTCGCATTTTATTGTTGTCGACATTTCACACAGCAGTGGGTAACAACGTTAATGCAAGAATTTCATTAATGGTTGCCAAGAGTTTTAACACCATTGTCTTCTACCCATTCTTGCATTGGGACCTGGACATACCGTGCCATCCCTTTCACGGGTGGCTCCAACGTGTTCCATGCAACAGGCTTCTTTGTTGCAAAAAAAAACATTTTAAATTCCTAAATCCCCGCAGCAGCACACATCTCCCACCCTGGGAAGCATGATTCCCAGAAACCCTGAGCTTATTATTCTTTATGTCTGTTTAAAAATAAGCAGGCGGACGGGCCGCCGGGCCACTATGGAGTTCCCTGTGCACACTGGCGAGCCCGCACCTCTCCCCTGCCGGGGTGGATCCCAGCCCCTCGCTCCCGCTCCAGGGCCAACTTTGGGGGCTGGCGTGGGGGGCAGGTGGGCGGGGCC